CAGATGTAATTGTAGCTAAAAGTAGAAAAGAAAAAAAAAATCCGAAATAATTTGAACATTTGTGAAAAATAGATTCATCTTGTACTTAGTAACCGTAAAGAAGGAAACAAAATCATGAATAATAAAGAGTAAAAATTGGGGAAAAAATCATTTGTATTTGCATACGTCTGTTCGCATATAACGAAGAGGTGTTAAAAACAAGGTTATTTAGATGAGATGAAAAAAGTGGGAATGAATGGCAGGTTCAGAAAGGTAATAAGTGTGTGTGTGTGTGTATGTGTGTGTGTGTGTGTGTGTGTGCGTGTGTGTGTGTGTGTGTGTGTGTGTGTGTGTGTGTGTGTGTGTGTGTGTGGTGTGTGTGTGTGTGTGTGTGTGTGCGTGTGTGTGCGTGTACGTGTGTGTGAATTCTCTCTCTCACTAACTGAAGTTCTTATTAAAATGTACCTGCATTTTTTACATGCTTTAATTGCATGAGAGACAACTAATTAACATGTTTTGTTCTGAACTGATACCCCTTGCATATATTACATCAAAGGGACTAGCTATAAATTGTTGCCGTTGACTCATCGACAAATGCTTGTGACAAAATACGTAAACTATTAATAATGAAAAAAAAAAAATCTTATTCACTTCAAATAATATATGATCTAGGAATTTGATAAAAGCAAAACAAATATTGATATGTGCATTACATATGCACGAGCAGAAAACAGTATTTGTCTTTATATCTTAAACAGGGAATAAGATAAAAATGGAATGATTCAATAAGGCCTGCAATTTGTCAATCAATTACTTGTAAGTCTTTTTCTTTTTTTAATTCAACCCGTGTATACCTTTCAAACTAAAATTCATATATACTCCATTTACTGAGCACCACAGTTCACGGCTGCTGCTGCGGGGAAAAACTGAAAGTGCCTAAATGTTTTAATGTCCAAGAGCTTTGGTAACATGAGTAAATATGATAAAGTTACCGGTAGATGAAAGAAAGAGAGAGAGAGAGAGAGAAGGACAAGAGAGAGTGAGAGAGAGAGAGAGAGAGAGAGAGAGAGAGAGAGAGAGAGAGAGAGAGAGAATGAGTTACATATATAAAGAGGCGTAGTTTTGGACATGCAAGTCTCATCTAACAAAAATGAATCTATTACTAATATGACTACGCACATGAAGCTCTATAGACACGTACATGCATACGTCTGCGTGTATGTGGGATAATAAACTCACTTCTTAAACCTAAATCGCTGACGTTGAAGGAAAAAGCGACATCAGGAAGCTGCTTATCACAAGCATTATTACCGCTGAGGTCAAATTAGGACACTGAAGTCGTATGCGCGTGATGGGGGGGGGGGGGGGCAGGTCACGAGACCCGATTTGGTAACAGTGCTTTCGAAGGAGACCACGTGGTTGGACGCCGATTCTTCGAGGTCGAAGTCGAGGTCGTTTGCGCGAGTCGCGACGTGTTAATGGGGAAGTAGATCTACGAGTGTTTATGGGTAAGTGTGCTTGGGTAAGTGGTTATAGCTTATAAACAACAGATGTTTAATAGCATCCTAATAAACAAACCAACAGAAAAAAATGGAGCAGCAGAGAACAAACAGAGGTTAGATGAAATATCCCAATAAACAGTAAAGATAAAAACGATAAAAAAAGGAAGAAAATATATAGGAAGCGATAGAGAATAGTAGTAAAAAGAAAAAAATAACAGGAAAAAGCAAAGTGAAAGAAAACACAATAAGGAAGAAAAAAAAGAAAACAAGAGAAAAAACGAAAACAAGAGAAAAAACGAAAACAAAATAAAGAAACAAGAGAAAAAAGAAAACAAAAAGGAATAAAATAAACAATAAAAAAAAAACACAGAAAACATAACCAGCAAGGCAAACAGACAACCGATTCGCCAAACAAAACCAAAAAAACAAAAAAACGAAAAGATAAACAGAAAAGCGGAAGGCGAGAGAACACCGCGCAGCCCTGCAAGTTATTCGATATATTAAAATAACTAAAAGTTCCTTGTGAGAAACGCCTTTTAGATTCCCAGGAACCGCGCGGAGACATCTTAGTAGTGATATTGCTCGATGCGCGACGTCATCTGTGCAGGCGAGGGGGGTGGGGGGGGGGGGAATATGCTCTTATGGGGGCTGAAGATGGGGGGGGGGGGTAGTCATCAAGCGTAACATTATGTGGAAGGTACGTTTATGTAAAAAAGTGAAGAGAGAGAGAGGGGGGGGGGAGAGGGAGGAGTGAGAGAGAGAGAGGGGGAGGATAAGGAGGAGAGAGAGAGAGAGAGGGGGAGGATAAGGAGGAGAGAGAGAGGGGGGGGGGGAGGGAGGAGTGGGGGGGAGAAAGAATTTTCTTATTCAAAATTATTTTATTTTATTTATTATCTATTATTTTTTATTGTCTCGATCAAAATGGTACATTTCTGACTAGAAATGCACGGTCTTTGCTTATTACTGTTTTTTATCATGTTTTGGGAGTTTTTAAAAATGAAGTATATCTATATCTACATATATCAACATTTTTTTTTTCTTTTGTTTATCTCTCCCTGACTTCCTCTTCCACGAGCCATTAGTCTGCACCAAGAACTACAAGGAAGCGCTCCATTGTCGCTTCCAGAGAACGTGACGCAAGTCGCTGCTTAGGCGTTTTTGATCGGTTGCTCTGACGATGGTGCACACGCACGCACACACACACACATATATATTGTTGTGTGTGTGTGTATATGCTGTATATATATAGATAGATAGATAGATAGATATGTGTGTGTATATATATATATATATATATATATATATATATATATATATATATATATACACACTTTCATACAAATTGTTGCGTGTGTGTGTGTTTGTGTGTGTGTGTATGAAGGCAAAATAAGATATCCTCTCCAATTCCTTACTAATTAGCCATCTCTTACATCACCACTTTGACACTAATAATCATTCCCTTTTAATTAGATTATACATATATTCAACCTTAAAAGCAACCGGAAGAGACCCGAAAAGATGAAAGTGACCGGCCAATGTTTGCGAGGCAACTTCGGTACACAGACATGTTTTAAAACTGAGTCGAGACAGGAAGGCGAGGCTTCATTTCCGAGGTTTGTTAGGGTCGGTTACGCTAACAATGAGAAATGATGTCGTTCTAAATCTTTCATAGAAATGTACAAAAAACTGGGAAAATAATAACAGACAATTATGAAATAAAATCTTAATACAGCGTTTGGTAAATAGTTATAATTATTGCAATAACAGCAAGATTCAAAACCGCTTTATGTAAACAGTGCCCAGGTGTGTGGACTAGACTCTGCTATATTAAATGTTCAAGGTTCACTAATGTGGCTTTTCAACCTTCCTTTAATGGCGATTGTGAAAGGAGTAAAATATAATTTCCAATGGCGTATGATTTGTTTGCATGTTAATGAGCCGCGTAGGTAACTAATGTGCATATTATTAGCAGTTGCAACGAAAATACAAAAGTCATTAATGTTTTTTCTTGATCATTATGTAAATGTGAATAATAATCAATCAACCTATTCGATTTATTTATTTCTCTCATTAATATTTTTCGTCTTTAATAGGAAGTATTTGCAAAAGAACTGTAAACATGAGTACATTCAAATTGTTGGGAGTCTGTCGCTAATTATACTTGCAGTTATGCGAACCACCTGCGGCCGCCTTTGCAGCAAAAAAAAGGGAGAGAGAGAGAGAGGGGGAGAAAAAGAGAATGAGAGAGAGAGAGAGAGTGAGAGAGAGAGAGAGAGAGAGAGAGAGAGAGAGAGAGAGAGAGAGAGAGAGAGAGAGAGAGAGAGAGAGAGAGAGAGAGAAAGGGAAAGAGAGCAAGAAAGATTGTAATACAAATTTTATATAACAAATGACGCAGGACCTGACTATACAAAACACCTTGCTCTTATCCCCTTCCCTCTATCTTAATACCTATCTTTCCATCCCAACTCTCCTCTCACGTGAAACACCTCGCTAAACAGAGAGAAAACATAACAACCGGAAACGAAGAGAGAGAAGAGAGAGAGAGAGAGAAAGAGAAGACACGGTAGACTAAAGTTTATGCTCACTTCAGCACCATGATCTCCCAAGTGACCTTGATATGCTGACAAACAGATAAAGTCAGCATTTGTGTCTGACAGCGCGTCGCTCGCTCCGCCTACCCCGTGACGTCACAGAATCTCGACATCGGCAGGTGATTTATACAGGTGAGATTAGGTTACCGTTAGAGCTAGTCAACTTCGGGTAGGTTACCTTAGGTAGGGTTATCGTAGGTTACGTTAGGCTTGGGGCTCGCTTGGTTTAGGCTTAGGCAGGTTAGGGCAGGGTGTTGGGATAGGATGGGTTAGGTTCGGCAGGATAAATCAGGCTACAAAGAGTTCTGTTAGGATGGGATGGGTTAGCCGAGGATTAGTTAGGTTCAGATACGATTGCTTAGTGCAGGATATTGTATATCTAGCCGAACATTATTAAGGCTGGATCGGATATATCAGGCTACAACTTTTTACAATATATTTGGGTATGTTAGCCAAGGATTGGTTCCACTGGTTGGGAATCTTTATTATCTTTCCATTATGCATTTATGACAACTGATGGTTTTAAGGAACGATAATCAAATAACGAGAACAATGAGGATAATAATAGTGATGGTAATAATGATGGTGATGATAATAATGATAATAATCATCAGTAACACTGTAATTATCAATGTGCTTATTATCAATCTACTTCATGTTCTAATTCTCATTTTCATCGTTATCAGTATTTATTAAATCTAATATCTGATTTTGTCATTTGTTTTGTCCTCTCTCTCTCTCTCTCTCTCTCTCTCTCTCTCTCTCTCTCTCTCTCTCTCTCTCTCTCTCTCTCTCTCTCTCTCTCTCTCTCTTCCTCCCTTCCCCTTCTTTCCTTCTTTCTCCTACTTTTCTTTGTATTATAACCCCCCCCCCCTGACAAAATCATAAACTTAGAAACAAAACAACTAATCAACCCATCCATACATACAAAGGAATCTGGAACTCCGATTCAAGAACATCAATGTACAGGTCGTTGATGTCAGGTCTCTGGTCGTCCTCGGAGTCACTCGAGCTCAATAGATGGCGCTGGCAGTCATCCAGGAGGTCGTTTTCTTTCATCGTTGACCTCTGAGCGACCTCCAAGGGGGACTTAAGAGAAAGGATTTTTTTTTCTCTTTTTTTTACAGTTTTTCCTTGATTATCTCATCCTTTGTGTCTTTTCTGGTTCTCTCACTTCTCTTCTTTTTTAATCGCTTGTTTCCTGCTGTCTTTCTTTTCGTATTTTCTTTTATCACGGATTAGTCCTTTTTTCAAATTCGATAACCAATGTTAGACAAAAAAAATGTTATACACAAAACTCCAAGTACAGTTGTATTCACATTTTTAAAAAATAAACACACTTTAGCCACAAATTAACGTCCACATTCATCAAACCATTTGTTCAAATACGTTCGCTCACCAATTAGCACCTATTTATACCTCAATGCGCCTTTTAAAAAACGTACCGCAATCTCCTTCTCATCCTAAACTTAAAATGAAAAAGAAAATCGACATGCATTACGTAATTCAGTTCTCTTATTAAAATCTGCTCTGGATAACGACTTCTGAATCGCTAAATTAATTTTGCTTATTCGGAGAGTGGTCTCTAAATCAGTCAATAATTTTCGTTTATTAACTCTATAAGTAGTTTTCAGTAACCCGGAATGGACTGTAAATAAATCGTTTCACTTAACAGGACAATAGTCTCTGAAACAATGAAAGATTTTCACTTATCCGGACCGTAGTGGCCTCTAAATCAGTTCATAACCTTCGCTTATCCGGACAGTGATCTCAACACCCATAAACATCTTCCGCTTTTGCACAGAGAAGACATTACTCACTTCTTCGCACAGTAACCTCTAAAATAATAAATTCGCCCTTATCCGCACAGTTGTCTCTCCTGCAACGAATAATTTCCGGGAAACGGTGATTAGTTCCCTTGCGTTTCCGTAAACTGAACTTCTTGTCTCGGCTCAGCGGGACCTTGGCAATCGGTATCCGATGTCTGTTTTATCCGCGTTCTGGTGTGCGGTTTAGTGGTTCGGTTCGGCTGGCGTCTCGAAGAGAGGGGGGGAGGGGGGAGGAAGACGGAGAATGAGAGATAGAGGGAGGGAGGAAGGGGGGAAGAAAGGAGGGGGGGGGGGGGAGGAAGACGGAGAATGAGAGATGGAGGGAGGGAAGGGAGGAAGGAAGGAAGGAAGGAGGGAGGGAGCGAGAGAGGGAGAGGCAGAAAGACAAATAAATAGAGGAAGCATGAGAGAGACATAAAAAGTGAGGAAAAAGAGAGGCAAGAAAACGAAGAAAAGATAGAGACAGAATGAAGGATAGAGGAAAGGACAAAAAAGGGAAAAGAGGGAAATTCATACACAAAAAGAAAGAAGAAGAGGAAGAAAGAGAGAGGGGTGAAGGAGAAGGAGAAAGACGGAAGAGAGAGGGAGAAGAAAGACGGAAGAGAGGGGGGAGAAGAAATATTCTGGTCTTGTGGTTGATAAGGTGTCTGCCAGTTTCTCTACGATATAAGTGGATTGGAGAATGATATAACGACGATGACGAAAATGACGACGATGACGACGAAAATGACGATGACGACGATGACTATGATGAAGATAATAATGACGATGGCAATGGTGATGTGAAAGTGATAATGATTACGATAATAATATTGGAAATGATATTAATGATAGTAATAACAGTAACACCACAATTTCTTTTACGAAGTTATTGATCACTGTTAGATAAAAAAAAATATATGTACGAGATGTTGCGTTCCTTCTTTTAATCTGTTGTGACTGTCAGTAAAGATGAATTATATATAAAGTCATTTGATACAACGCATGTTTCGAAATCCCAGTCGACTTCAAAACAATATTCTGCTTTCGCGACTCGCTGAAAAATATTTATTGTTGTATTGGAGGAAGGCAGAAGGGAGGGGGATAGGGTGGGAAAAGGAGGAAAAGGCGAAAGGAGGGAGGAAGGTGAAGGGAGAGAAAAGGTAGGAAGGACGGAAGGAAGGAAGAAAGGAGGGAAGGGAGGAAGGAAGGGAGGAAGGAGGGAAGGAAGGAAGGAAGGAGGGATGGAAGGAGGAGGGAGTAGGGAGGGGAGGTGGGGAAAAGGTAGAAAGAAGGAAGGAAGGGAGGGAAGGAATGGGGAGGGAAGGAAGGCAGAGGAGAAGGGACAAAGGAAGGTGGGGACTGGCAGAGAGGAATGGTGCGGTAGAAACATAGGAAGGGATAGAGAAATGGAGAGAGAAAGAAACAGGTGTGCAAACAAGTGTGTAAAACAAGTGTGAAGGCAAGGAACCACATGTAAACTACCTTCGTAAAGCAAACTCGTCCAGTCCAACGCTAATACCAATGATAATATCAGTGTTAAAGATAATATACTTAGCAATGACAAATACGCTAATTATCAAAGTGGAAATGGCAACAGAATCAATATTCTAATAATGGCTACAAAGTTAATATCATCACTGATAATGACAATGTTGATTTTGATAATGATGATGACGATAATAATAATAATAATAATAATAATAATAATAGAAATAGAAATAATATAATGATAATAATAACAACAACAATAATAATAATATAATTAATAATGAAATAATGGCGAAAACGACCATAGTAACACCGATTTCCAACTAATCATCACGTCCGCATATCACCGCTTATCTCAATCTCCGTATTAAACACCGTCATCACACACAAACATACATACGCACAAACACACGCACACATCCCGCTCGGTATGAACAAACAATCCTTCCACTATAATCCCACATAACAAAACACCAGACTATGTAAACAACGCGTCATCGCCATCTATTCAGAAGGTCCATTTTTTTTTTTAATCGTCGGTCACAAACAAATTTTCTCGGATCGTCTTTGCAAAGGTTAAAATGCCCAGCCTCGGTTTCTTACGTAGGTTCGCTTCGGACGACACGGAGAAGACTGATGCACAGGTGAGCACGTTTATTGTCCCGTGGTGGGGTGCCGGATAGGTTTTTTTGTTATCATTTTCGTGACAGGGCGAGGGTGGATCCGGTGTTTGTGATCACTAGCTATTTATTGTCATTATTAGTATTTTTTTTAGTCATGTCCTTTTTTTTTTTTTTTTTTTTTTTTTTTTTTTTTTTTTTTTTTTGAAAGTATTAAGTTTGTATTTGTATAATGATGTGGCTATATGTGTTGCCACTTTTTAATTATGTTTATTTATCTATTTATTTGTTATATATCACCATCATTTCGATGTGCAAAGTCTGAATCGTAAGTGATGTATATTTAAGCATTAGTGCTATTTTTTTAAATTCTTTTACTTGCATTATTCTTCATGGAAGTGACGCTTTTAATGGATTAAACTGGCAACAAAAGAGAGGATGATAAACATTTTGTCATCAAGAGTAAAAAGGAAAAGGTAATGCATTTACTCCAACCCAAAACACCCCTCCCCCCCCACCATAGCGTATCCAGACCCACCCAAAATCCTCTCATATTGTTCTTTTATCATAAGTTCAAGGCTACAATTCATGATTATTCCAACCCACATTTCCAGTTTTTCCCCCCATGTTCACATACATTTAATTTTCTTTCCTTCATCTCCGTTTTATTTCCAGTCGCGTCTCCTTCTTCCTCTTTCATTTTCCCTCTCCCTTTTCCTCCTTCTCTCTTTCCTCCATCGCCTCAAGGGTTTCCACGTACACCACCTGCTGATACCAGACTCTCCATCTTTTTAAATTCTTCAAAATTATTCACATCCACCACTCCCCACTTTAAACACCCTTCCCTACCACCTGCCCGCTCGTAAATTCATTCTGCTAATGCAAAGAACTAAATGTAAAGCATATTTTCGCCGTTTGCTCCTTGTGTATATGCGGGTAAAAATATCGTTATAACTGAACGATGGAAACTCAACGGAACAGGACAAAGCGCCCATATGATGTCCATATAACGAACCATACATATTTTTTTACAACGGACACGTCATAAAATACGAATTCCAGACATATATGCAACCATTACTATGGATTTTTGACTTGAAGCCTTGTTTCATAAAATTTCAAGGCGTGTAGCGTTGATGTTGATGTACTAAGGATTTGTAGTACCGAAAGTTTCGATGCGATGTACGTACGCTTAATGTAATTCCGTATCCAAAAAAAACTCTCTTCTTCGTTGATGGGTAAGTGATGGTAGACCGCAACGTAGCCGTGAATGGTTAACCGATGGTAATTAAAGGTCATTTTCGCTCGTCTTATTGTCTTTCGCTCTCCTCCTCCCCGTGTTTCCCACTCACTCTCATTCTCTCTCATTCTCTCATTCTCTTTCTCTCTCTCTCTCTCTCTGTCTCAGTCTCTCTCTCTCTCTCTCTCTCTCTTTCTCTCTCTCTCTCTCTCTCTCTCTCTCTCTCTCTCTCTCTCTCTCTCTCTCTCTATATATATATATATATATATATATATATATATATATATATACGTATATATATATATGTGTGTGTATATATATAATGTATATACATCCCCTTCTTCCTTATCTATTTTCTCTTTCTCTTACCCTTTTCTCTTCGCACGCCCTTCTTCCTCTCACACACGCATAAAAGCGATGTTAATGAAAGTCCTGGCCGTCATCACCAGATATAAACACACTCTCCGGCATCAACAAAGAAAGGCGTATTATAATGCATGTTATTTCTCCCTAAAATAACGACATGGCAACTGGTCGCCGTCGACAGGAGACGTAGAATTTCCAGGAAGGAAGAGATAAAAATATTAATATTGATGTTAATGATAATAAGATATTAGTATTGCAGACAGTTATAAAGTACTGATACTGATGGTAATATGATGGCAAATTTAATTCCTTACAGAAGCAACGGTAATAATAGCAACAGCAATGATAATAGCAATAATGATAATGATGAAATGATAATGAAGATGGTGATAATAATAACAATAATAATGATAATGATTACAATAATAATGATATTGATTGCAATAATAATGATAATGATTACAATAATAATGATAATGATTGCAATAATAATGATATAATTAATAGCATAATAACATTAGTAATAACCACTACATTCATAGAAACAAGGGAGTTGCTCGTATGTGATACCTGCATATCTTTATTTTTGATTTATTTTGCATTTTACCTGTATCACGTGCATTTTGTTGTATTCTGTGTAAAAGCTAATATGATACACACACATACACACCAACACACTCACACACACACACACACACACACACACACACACACACACA